TTTCCCTCTCATCTGGAGAAGGCCTTTACTCCTAGCAGCCATGTCTCCTTGCACTGGTGTTCATTTGCTCGTGGTTTTGCACCCTGCTGACCCTCTTGGCCGGGAACCCGCCACTGGGGAGTCACCCACCGTCCCGGGCCCCGCAGAGCCGCGTTCCTGCGAGGGCTCAGGACCCTGGCGAGGTGTTTACGGCTCCAGTTCCGCTTCGCTTTTCCTGCTGCGTTTAGTTGCTCAGGGCTGTTGTCGGGCTGTCCTCGCAGCGGAAGGAGGAAGAGGGGCTGTTTCAAGCGCCGCTCCGGAGGACGAGGTTAATCCGGGAGCGACGCGGGGCGTGAGGAGAGCACAGCGGGGAGGACGGGCGGCTGCCGACGACCGCGTGCTGCGCTCAGGCCGCTGGCCCTGCCTGCGGGAGCTCGACGCAGCCGGCGTTGCTCTTGCAAAACCCACAGGGCCAGACAGCTCGGGGCTTCAGCACTGCGGGTCTGCAGCTCGCGTCAGCAAGCTGAGGTGTTCGGGTCCTCTCTACCCATGCTTTAGGCCGTCATTCTTTGGCAGGGCACAGTCTGTGTGGTTCCAGGCTTGCTGGAAGCTGCTGAGATGCTGAGGAGCAGGAGGGTGGCCCCGAAGGCTGAGGAGGACTGAGCTCCATGATGTCTTCTCTTCCTCATATCCTTTCATGGCACCTGCTGTCTGACAGGGCAAACTTTGGGCTTGTTTCTTCCCTCCTTGTGGTGTTCACAGGCCTCTGGCTTGGGATTCTTGGTCACATGGAGGAGTTTCCCATTTTGCTGCTTGGGGTGCTTGTGGGGGTCCTGCAGGGACCTGGGAGGCAGCAGAGGGGAGCTGCTGCTCTGCTTGGTGCCATTTTGTTAGGAAACTTCTTCCGACTGCGCTGACAGGCCTGCAAGAGCCCTGGAAACAACCGGTTGGGCCAGCTGATGCCTCTTTGCTGGGAGCCTGTAGCGCTGCAGGGCCACGCTGGGGAGGTTCGAGAGCCTGCTCCATGGGCCCCTTCTCCACCTTGGGTGCAGAGAACCCGACCGTGATGCCTTTGGCAGGGCTGCCGGAGAGCATCTGCGCGCGGGATGGCGGGGGGCCCTTGCCTGGGTGTCTGTGCAGGCGCTGCCGATGCTAACGGAGGAGGCCGGGCTGCCTTCTGCTCCGCTTGGCTCAGGCCCAGGTTTCGGGACAAAGGCTGGAGCGTTTCCACCGCCGCGAGCCTCGTGCTGGTGCCTGGCAGCGTGGCTGGCTCCCCACACCTGCTCTGCAGAGCCTCTCTGATACGGGCGGCGTGGTGAAGCCCATCGGGTGCTCTGCTTCAAAGAAGAAAAAAGGATGTGAAAGGGAACGGAGGAGGCAGCAGCCTGCGGCTGTTTTCCTGGGCCCTCAGTGCCCCTTCGCTTTGTTGCTGGTGCCATCGCCCTCTGATGCTGGGCGCGTGCCCTGGTGCAGGCCCTGGTGCTTTTGCTCCTGGGCTTCAGGACCACTTGGGGAAGGGTCTGCATTGCCACAAGGGGTCTGTAACAGCAGTAGTATCGGCAGCATTTGCCCCTCGCTGGCTTTTGGAGGTCCCTGCTGTCACTTTGGGCCACTCGTTTTGCTCATGGTCATGTTTCCTGGGGACTTCATGTGGCCCCTTATGCCCTGGAGGAGGCAGAGAGTACATTAACCCTTCTATCCTGCTGCTCTTCCAGCTGGCCGTCCTGGAGGACTATGCAGATCCCTTTGATGCTACCCAAGTGGCTGGTAGCCAGACAGGACTCGAGAAGGTGATGGAGAATGATGGATATATGGAACCGTATGAAGCCCAGAAGATGATGGCTGGTAAGACTAAAAGCTTTCTGCAAAGGCCAGTGTACTCTTAGTATCTCTAGTTGCTGCTGCTGCATGAATTCGATGGCCAGTCTTCTTCCTAACCCATGACATAAGCTTGTGCCAGGTCCCCAAGATAAAGCTCCTGAGAGCTGGCTGGGGCATCAATCTAGTGGGGTGCAACCACATTTTCTCAGCATGACCCACATGTGAGGAGCTTGCCGTAGCCAGAGCGTTCTTGAAGGGTAACTGAGCAGCAGAGGCACCTCTGTGTTTCTGCTGGTTGCTCTTAGCTCGGCTCAACGCTGTGGTGCTGCCTCCTGGATCATGGTCCCTGCTGGCAGACTCGCCCCGGGGGCAGCGGGATGGCCAGGCACGGCTGAGCCGCTGCCTTTCAGCGCTGACATTCGATACGTCTCGCATAATACAAGGAGGACGTGGGAGCCATTTAATTCAGCTGCGACTGGTCTGAACGTGCTGTTCGTCGGCAGCCGCCGCAGCGGGGTCCCCAGCGGGCTCGTTTATGGCTCGCAAGCAGGAGGGGTGCGAGCGTGCGCTCCCGACGGCACCGCTCTCCCCGCTGCAGCGCGCGGGGCTGTTACGCCAGGTTGCACACTGTAGGCTCCGGCTCCGCTTTGCAATCCTGCGGTTTTCCTGGACCAAATGGTTTTGGAAAGCTGAAGCGGCTTCTGGAGGAGGCTGTTGCTTTTTTTGGGGGAAAAAAAATGCAGTGAGCAGCAAAGAGGCTTATTGTGTCTGTGAGGAGACGTGTGTTCCTGTTCAACTTGAGGGAAGGGCGTTTTATTCAAATTTCCCTTTTTTTTTTTTTTTTCCAGACTAGCTGTGCTGGATGTTCAGGGAATAAACCTGCTCTCATCGCTCTTGCAGACCCTGTAGTTGGGGCGCTCTGTCCTTGCAGACCTGCTGGATGTTTTGCCATGGGGAGGGAAGGGGTCTCAGTGCTGGGGGAGGGCAGCAAAGCTGGCTCAGTGTTTTTCTGCCCAGCAGATGAGTTTGGCTCCCAAGAGACCTGCCCACACGGGGCGCTTTGGGAAGGGCTGTGGGGCATCCAGGATCAGTGTCTGTCCAAGAGACCTGCCAGGAGCTGTGCCAGCACCGTGCCACGGTGTAGCTCCCTCTATGACCCCTGATGAAGTCCTCCAAAGTGTGCTGCTTCCTCATACTGCTCCTCCGATGAGCTTGGAGGCTTTAGCAGCTGTACCCACTTCTGTTCTGCAGCCTGGACGGAACAGTAGGGTGAATCCAGCAGTCCTGACCATCTTTCCCTGCCGTACAGTGACACCTGGACGTGTGGAGATAAATCTGCATTCCCATGGTGGTGGCATTTTCCCCCACCGTGGTATCTCTGGCCTCTCAGCATCTCCTCTCCACGGAGCAGCGGGGAGACCCCTTCACACTGTCCATCCTGAGACTGGATGGGGCTGAGGCATGTGGGGAGCCATCATTTGGTCCCAGCTGATAGCAGGCTGGCTCCCACCGAGGGAAATACTGCTGCTTTTTGCCCTTAGCTGGGTCTGCTGTTTCTTGCAGGTGATTGTTGGAGCTTTGGGATCTGCTCTTTTGGTGATGTGCCCTGCCCCCCGCTGTTGTCCTTGGCTGAAGGGAAACCCTTCCACTTGGCCTTGGGGACCGTGGCCAGACTGTATTGCACATAGAGCTGATGGTCCTACTCTTTCATTTTCTGCTAGAGATCCGCCAGAAGGGCTTACGGGAGGCTCCAGCCCGGCCACTGCACCTCTACGACACTCCCTACGAGCCTGTGTCCGGGGCGCTGGACACGGACGGGGAGCGCCTGGCCTGCCCGAGGCCCAGGGAGTCCCGGCTGCCCGAGGACGATGAGCGGCCACCTGAGGAGTACGACCAGCCCTGGGAGTGGAAGAAGGAGCGTATCTCTAAAGCTTTTGCAGGTGAGCAGGACGGAGACAGTCTGCGGTTGGGGAAGGGTGGCTTGAGCACCTCGACAGGCTCTTCCCTGACAGTCCTGTGTGAGATTTTGCAGAGGAGGGAAGCTGCTTTCTTGGGTTCCCCTTGTTTTTGCAAGGTCTGCAGCAGCAGCCTTTGCCTCGTGGGAAGGATCTCCCACTTGCAGAAGCTGTTTGTCTTCAGCAGGGCTGGTGGGAACCAGCTGGGAGCACTGGAGGGCCCAACAGGAGTGCCAGCCAGCCCAGCTGGACTGGTGCCCGGAGCTGCCTTAGCAGCTTCTTCACTGCCCATCATCTCCAGCTCTGCTCTAGTTGTCAGTGCAAGTTGCCCCCCACTGTTGCAAACTGCTGAGCAGAGGCCAAGCTGAACTTTGGGTTTATTTCGGCTTTTGCATGTCTGCCGTTGCAAAGGCAAGAGCTGGTCACTCCCCTGGGAGCCTTTGGCCGGAGAGCATCCGCCCCCCTGCCCTATTTATCCATCCTGCGGGAATCGATTGCGTTTGTGTTTGTTAATGAGGAAATCCATGCTGTGCATTAGTGCTGGCTCCAGTGCCAGCGCTGGCTAATTGCCAGGCTTTTATCTAGGGTGCAGCTTAATTGCAGCAGTATGTCTGCACCGCTGCCAGCGTGCGCGCGGCACCCGTGCTGGCAGGGGCTGGCGCTGAGCAGGGATGCAGGTGGAGCAGCATCGGCGCTGGGGCTCGTAGCTGGGACAGCGATTCAGCTTTTGGGCTCAGGCCCTGCAAGCTGGAGACTGCAAGCGTGTCGGGCTCTTGGGTTAGGGCGTCTGGATGAGCCTGCATGGGCACCTGGGACTCCTGGGTCCTGGCATGGATGGGTGCAAAGACGGGTGTCCACAGCTTGGGTTCAGCTCACTGGGCTCCATAATGTGGAAATGCAGACACTGGGCTTGTGCTGAGATGTGTCTGTGCAATGGACTTGGGGAGATTAGTTGCCTTGCTTGAGGTCCATAGGTGAGGGTGATGAAGTGGACCCTTTAGTTTTGCGCCGAGCCCCACGGGGAATTTGTGCGTGGCGTGAAGCAGGATGCTGTGTCCTGGGGCACACTGGGACCTGCTGGCTGTTTTCTCCTGGAGCTGGAGCAGGTCCTGCTGTTGCGAGACCTTTGTCCTCTCTTGTGATGTTGTAACCTCTCTGCTGGCTCTCTGCCCCTTTGCTAGGCCTGTGAGATCCCGTGCTGATGGGCATGTGGAATGAGCATCACGAGCAGAGTTTGTCCACTTTTCCTCATCCTTCTCGTCACAGATGGTGGGTTGCCTGTGTGTGGCCTCAGGAGCTTTGCAAGTGCTTTAGGGCCTGGTGTGCTCATTGCCCCTGGCTGTGAAGCGGGACCCAGCGAGCTGAGCACGTCCCCAACCTGCTGGCGCATGGCAGGGGAACTCGGAACGAGCTGGGTGACTGGGAAGTGCCTGGGGCAAGATGGCTAAGGGGATTTAAATGCACGGACAGGGCAGATGGTGATGAGGCTTTCAGCCTAGGTCTACTGGATGGACTTGCACAGAGGGTTGGGGAGACCACATGCTCTCTCCCAGCCCCAGAGGCTTCACTGAGGCTGGCTGGGAAGACAGAGGAGGAGGGTTCAGGGTCTTGACATGGGGAACTTGCATCAGACCTGTTCCTGCTTGGTGCTGAGGAAGGCAAAAAGTGGCAGAGCTGCGTGAACACCATCAGCTCCGAGTGTTTCCTACTTGATGATTTTCCAAGGCCTGAGGAGATCATGAGCCCATCAGCTCCGTTTGCTCCAGGCCTTCCCTGGGCCTAGCCCTGCTTGTGAGGGCCCGCTGTGACGGTGCAGGTTCCACTGCATGCCTTGCTGTACACCTCAGCCAGCTTCGAGCTGCATGTGCTCAGGCTCCTGGGCGTTTAATCCTTAGGTCTTTCCCTGCCACAACTGCTGTCCTTCTCTGTAGGCCTTGTGTTGCTGACATTTATTTCTAAGCCCTTTCTCTTTCTCTCTCTCTCTCTTTCTCCTTCTCTTTCTTTTTCTCTCTCTTTCCTACCCCTCTCCCCTATTATCCAGTTGAGATCAAGGTCATTAAAGACCTGCCATGGCCACCACCGGTGGGACAGCTCGACAGCGGCGAAAGCCCCCTGGATGGCGAGGCCGGTGCCTCCGTCCCTCCGCAGCAAGGCCAGCTGAGCTATGAAGACGCCAACGGTGGGTCTTGCGCGACCAGCGCGGTGTTTGGGGAGGCTGGAGCCAATGCCCGATGGGACCTTGCCTTGCTGGCCCTGCTGCCAACCCGGGCCTGAGATGCCACAGCATCTCAGAGGTCGCTGACCCTGCCACATGGTGAGAACACTTGCCACGTGTCCTCTGGTCATGTGTTGGGGGCCAGGTGCTTAGAATTCCTCTATGGCTTTACTAGTTACTTTGGTTTCTTGCCTCTTCCTCCTTCTCTTGACATTAAAGAGGTGCAAGGACAGCCTTGTGGCTCTTGCAGGTTCTGCTACGCTCATCAGTCTGTGTCTGACAGCATCTTCCATCAGATATCAGGAAGGAATGTAAGACCAGGACAAGCATATGCTCATACTCCCCGCACAAATTCTCCTCGTGCCCAGCAGTCTGCAGCTCGTAACCTGAGCCTGGACCAGGCCGGCCTTTGTGTTTGGAAGCCCATAACAGATTGTCCTTCCATGAATTTTTCCAAGTACCTTTTGAAGCCATCTAAGCATTTGACATCCGCAACATCGTCAAGCGGAGATCCCCAGTATTTCCTCTTGATATTGGAACTGCTCCCTTGATAACTTAATTTGATGCCTGTATGGCAACTGCCTCTTGCCATACCGGACCCCCTTTGCCATGTCGGTGCCACATGGAGCTCCGCAGACATTTGGCCTCCTCCTCCCTCCCCCGGCCCCTCCTGGCCTCTCTGCTTGTCCTTTGCAGGACACGAGACATTCGTCCTCGTCTCTTCCGTCTCCTCCGGTTATATGACATCTCTTTGTGCGCAGTAGTAAAGACACCCTAGGGATTTATTCAGTGACAGAATTACTGTCTCCTGCTTTGTCCTCTTCTTTGCCCCCAAATTCTTAATATTTGATCGATTGTTTTTATTTTATTTCCAACTAATGAACATTTAGCTGATGTTTCTTGGGACTCCGAACACCCATGTCTCTTACAGGGGGTGTAACAGCTTAATCAGATCCTACCACTGAAGATAGGGCTGTGTGGTTTCCTTTTTTTTTTTTTTATTACCCATGTGCATCACTTCATTTAGCACTGTTAAATTTCATCTACTATTTTATAGCTGAGCTGCTCAATTGCAGGAGACCTTTCCAAACCCTTGGTGGCTAGCGCTCGTTTTCGCTATCCTGAACGGCTAACTCTCGCAGGCACGCTTTGTCATTTCAGATTTGCTGTGTTTTCAAGTTTTTTGTGTGCGTGTTGAGCGGAAGAGACCCTGGGTTAATCCCCTTTGGACTTTGCTGGTTAATCTCCCTTATAAAAGGCAATGATTGTTTCTTCCCTTTTACCTGATTATTAATTTTTTAAGGGCTGTGCTTTCATGCCATGGTGGATTAGATTTTTTTAAAGAGCTTTAGGTGAGGGTTTTTGTCAAAATCTACTCATGCTGTATCGGTTGGCTCGGGCTCATTCACGTGCTCTTCACGAGAACTCAGCTGGATCGGTGCCACGTGTGGCAGCACCGTGTCTGTCTGGGTGTCACTAATTCTCCTCCCGACAGACACTGCAGTTTGCCAGGTGCAGATGTCTGATTTTTCTTATCTGTAATTAGCCAGATCCCTACAGAGCTTTGTAAAAGGATCGCAAAGGCTTTTGCTACCTCCTGGGTGTTTTTGAGCAAGGGATTGCACGTGACCACTGCTATTTATTGTGAGTTGTAGGGGAAGTCCAGAGCGAGGTGGCTGATCTCTGTGGTATTGTCCCAAATCCTCTGTAAAGGAGACCTTGGTATTGTCCCGAATCTTCTTTTATGGATGCTTCCATCTGAGATGAGTCCTCAATGTGTCCAAAAAAAGAGAAGCCTTGCAGGTAGAAACTTCTGTCAAGAAAATTTCTTTGCTATGCAGCCTCCTCTCTTCCCTCATCATTTCTTGTTCCTGCAGTCACCCTGATGAGCTTCTTGTTCCTGATGAATGCATCAGTTTGTCATTTTTCATGGTTTTAGCAACGCAAAGTCTCCCTCTCTCTCTTTATTTCACTTGCTTTGTTCTGTTTAGTTTATTTTGCCAGAGTTTTGTGTTTATTTTCTACTTTCCCTGTCTGGTTGCGACTTGAACTTCTTGAAGGATGTCTCCTCATTCCAAGGGGCTTCTTTTAATGCACCGTTTCATCATGTGCTCTTCCTCTGTCTCTCTCTGACAGATGCTCTGCATTTGTTCTGAGCACCTCGTATGCAGACTTCAAGCTGTCTCTGGTGCCAGCCATCGTTTCAGTGTTTTGATTGTCTTTTTAATGATCGTCCCAATTTTTTAGGGGATGAGTTGAAACTAGAGTTTTGTTGTTAAGTGCAAGACTGAATGTGGCAGTTTAAAAACAAGACTGTTGTAGCAGCGTTGCTGGTCTGGACTTAACGTTTCGTCCCCGAGCTCCTCCTTGCCGTTTTTCAGCCATGCAGAGCTGTGAAGGATTCTGAATGGGTTTTCTTCAGGCTCCCATCCTCTCCTCTCAGCCTACAGGGGCTGCCTGGTGACCCGCTCCTGGGTAGAAGTGCCAGTGGGACCTTGCCTTTCTCGCAGTCCTCATTTGCTTGGAGCATGGACCAGATTTCCCTCGAATAGCCTCCTTGGAGATGCCTAGATGGAGATATCCTTCTCCTCCTACTTTGGTGGCCGCTATTTAGCTTTCTGCGGATGGGAGGGCTGAGCCTGGCTTAGCCCGAGCCCTTGGGCTCCCAGTCATCCCCAGAGAGCAGGTTCTGTGGGACAGGCTGAGGGCAGCACGCTGGCGAAATCCTCCCAAAGGAGGGGACGAGGGTTGGGAGCGGCTCAGCCCAGCGGCTCCTGCTGCTCTGGCACTGGCTGAGAAGGCGTCTGGAGCGCGTGGCAGCCGCCGGGCCCCTGTCCTGAATAAGTAATTTGTGAGAGGGGCTTGTGTTGCAGGGCAGCAATAATGAACTCTCTGGAGGAGAGCGAAACAATATTATTAATGCTGAAATCATCCTGCGAGGAAATAACAGTCAGCGGATGGCAGAGTCCCCAGGGCACGGCTCCGCTAACACCCTGCCACTAGCGCGTCCCCCATCGTCCTCCCCTGCCAGAGCCGCGGCAAGGCGGCCAGCGACCGGCTCGTGAGGCCCGTGGGGATCTTGGTGGGACTGGGCACACGTGGTGGAAAGGCTGGGGTGGTCGCATGGAGGTGCCAGACCCAGCAGCAGTGCCCCTGAGCACCCCACGAATCTCAGCTGTGGAACCTCCTACTCATTTGACTACCCTTGAGGAGCTAAAGCTCAGGCATTTTTGGGGTGTCGTGCAATAGAAATGAGAGGCCAAAAGGAGAAGGCTCCCTGGAAAACATTTCCAGGAGATAAGACATTGCAGAGATTCCAGGTTGCACCAATTCCTAGCTTGGCGCAGCTGCAACTTGGGACTCTATAGAGAGCAAGCGGCCCAAAGCTGACCTGGCCTATCTGTAGTTAGGCCAGGAGGATGGAGAAGTGAGTGGGGACCCAGAGTGATGCAAAATGTCTCAGGTGCTTCTGTGGCCAGCAGCATTCCCGTAGGGTTTTCCAGGCAGAAAATGCTCTCTGAAGCTGGCAGGTCCGTTCTCAGTCCAGCCCGCTGCTCTGCATCCAGTCCTGGTTCTTGCTGGGGAAGCTGCCCTGCACCTTCTGATGTGCATCTGTCTTGCAGGCCAGGCGGAGGGCCTGGGGTACAGCCGGACTTCGCCCTGCAGGGAGGAGAAGGCCAGAGCTGCCCTCAGACACGGGACCAGCAACCTCAAGAGCACAAAGACGCTGAGCTTGGAGCCAGGGCCCTTCCTTGGGGAGAGGATTGACCCAGCCCTGCCCCTGGAGAGCCAGTGGTGAGTCCTGCTGCAAAAGAGCTCCCTAGCCCCTCTGCATGCGCTGAGATCCCCATAGTGAAGAAGCCCAGGATGAACTTGGTCCTGAACTTGGTCCTTTCTTCCCTGGTACCATGCCTCTGCCAGCTGCTGTTTGCCCCACACTTCTTGGAGCCCTGATGTCTGTTGGTGCCCTCTGCATCCCTTTTACGTGGCCTGCTCCTTGTCCCCCATCACCAACCTCTCTTACTTACATCGCTGAGCCTGAACGCTGCTCCTGTCCCAAGGGAGATGCTGAGTGAGCCTGTATTGCTGCTGCCTGACAGCAGGGGTACAACCTGTTTGGGCTCTCCTTGTGCAGGATGGGGCGTCCGCATCGGTTGTACCGCAGCAGCTTTCTGTTCTCTCTCCTGCCTACAGCTGGTACCACGGGGCCATCAGCCGGACAGATGCGGAGACGCTGCTGAGGCTCTGTAAGGAGGCCAGTTACTTGGTGCGCAACAGCGAGACCAGCAAGAACGACTTTTCCCTTTCCTTGAAGTGAGTGGCTTTACTCAGGGCTGTGGGACCGGGGTGGGTGGCACCTTCAGCTGTGCCATCCTCTGGCCGCAGCAGCAGCGATGCTGCCTCGTGGCCCTGAGCACTAGTGACTTGCGTGCAAGGGCACCCAGAGCCCAGGTATTGCACATGGTGAGCCAAATGTGGGAATATCCCTGGATATCGTAGCCAGGGGTGCCTGTGTTTGTGGCTGCTGGGAGGTGTGCAACATCTTCTCATGCCGTGGGTCTTGGACTGGGAGGTGAGCCAAGGGAAACAGGGTAACTTGGAGACGACTGCAAGACACTCATAACTTGCTGTAACACAAAGTTTGCGATTCTTTGCTGCCTAACACAGGCCCTTGACGTTTGTGTTGCCATTTGGCAAAAGTATCTTGCAGAAAGGCTTGCTAATCTGAAGGCATGCTGCTTTTTCCCTTGGCAGTGTTTGCAATGCAGACGGATAAAATGATGTGCCTTATTACTCATCCGAATGTGCCTGATTACAGTTTCCAGCTCTGGCTTCTCATTATCCCTTTCTAGCCTAGTTTTGTGGGGGAAGAAAAAAGTTTGTGTGATCACATTATTCATGGAGTTGAGGTTCTCCCTCTGTGCCTCCCAGCCCAATTAAGTGTTGTAGCTTGTTGCTCTGCCATGTTGTAGAGAGGGTAGCAGTTTAAAAAGTGCCCACATCCAACACAGCCTGTGAAAACAGATTTAAAAAAAGTGGGGACAGAATTAGGAAGGGATATTGGGAGACTGTGTTAAATTTCCAAGGAAAAGCCCTCTGTGTGGGCTTAGCCCTTCTCAGGCTGCAGCTTGGAGTGCTGATTGCAGGGTAAGAGAGGTTAGAAACACCCGGCTTGTGAGGGAAGTTTGTCACCTTATCACACTACAAAGTCCAACCTGGGGATGCCAAAGTGTCCTCTTGGGAACCTTACATGATGCTGCTACCTTTCAGTTTTCTTTCTGTAAAACTGGGTTACGCCACTTTGGTTTGTCCGGAAGGAAACCTCACCTTCTCAGCAGAGTTTGGTTTCTGTTTGTTTTGGTAGATTTTGTTGTACTCTCTCCAAGTTTTCTGGGTTCCTAGAAAATGTGAGTCCTGAAGCCGCATGAGGCATCATAGCTCAAATCCTGCCTGGGCGGGAGTCCTGCTTCCCAGACCTCCTTGTCCAGCTCTTTTTTTGGGACTCTTTGGGCGGTGCCCTGTGAAATCAGAGCTGTTCCTGGATTGAAGATGGATTAGCAAATACTCTGTTGCCCTCCTGCAGTACAAGTATGTCATTCTGTTCCTGGCACACATGGAAAAAAAAAAAGTATTTATGGAGCACTTCAGTTGTCTCTCTCTGACAACAGGCCATGTATCCCAAGCTTCTCTTAATATACTCTATGTTTTTCTACCTGTGTTTCTCCCCGGTGATTTGAGCTTTCCCCACATATTACCCAATGCCACAGTTGGGAATCAGATTGCTTTGTCTTTATTCTACCCTTTTTTTGTTTCCTTTTTGCTGCCTTCAATAGGAAACCAGGGCAGACACTTAACTATAAATAGTCTCCCTTCCTTGTATCCTTGTAGCTTTTAGATCTCTCAACAAACCTTTCAAAAAAAAAAAAATCCCTGCTTTGATTTTTCTTTTTGGTCAGATTTTTTCCTGACAGTTTAATTTTCTCTTTTGAAGCACCATCTTCTACTGGCCTGTTGTATTTTCCTCTTGGCCTTTCCTATTTCTAACTGTTTTGCAGAGCTGGTGGTGCCCCAGTGATTCGTCTTGCCCTTTTGGGACAAGGTTCGAATTCAGGCAGTTTCAGATAGGGGTCAGTAGGCCTTAGGCAAGAAGATTAACTTGTCTAATTTGTACAAACATGAATGATTATTTGCCGCCTGCCAGAGTGAGACTTTCAGCAGCTGTTTTCCAAAGTAGCATTTTGGAGATGAGCATCACAGAAGTGATGAATCTCTGGTGGGGTTTGAGGCTGCGAGAAGCCCTCTCAGCTATCAGCTTCCAGGTGATGTCTGGCACCATGTGCATTTGAGAGTCTGAGAGGTGACAGTGGGTTTGTTGGCCTTGGGCCAGCTTGAAAACACTGTTGCTGGACCTCTCTCGTTTTTGTCACCTCTCTTCTAAGGTCCCCAAGGTCACCTTTGTGTCTGTGTCCCTGTATCCACCAGTCCTGGTGGACACCACCTTGAATGTCTTGCAGAGCAGCAGTGGTATTTCCCAGCTCTGTTCTGGGGCATCATGGCATGCTGTTGCTTGTGTGCTTAGAGGGCTCTTCCCACTACAGTTGTCTACGTGTTGTCGCACTCGTTGCCTGTCTTTGCAAGTTGAAGTCTCTCAGTGATCATAGGACTTCCATTGGGTCACCCCATGCTGGCCTTGGGACCTCTTGATCTCTCTCCTGGAAGCTGGATATTTCCACCACCCATCTCTTCCCTGTGTGCCAAACATCTATTTCTTTGTTTTTCCTCTTAGTTCTTTTTGCCAATGCCTAGTCTTAGGGCAAAAATGGCCAAGTCCACTTTGCCAAGAATTGTCCCTTCTCACATGCACATGATGTTGAGCTGTAGTCTTCTGGCTGTGTTCCTGAAGGATATAATTCCGTTGGCACAGGGAGCTCCAGGCAGCTGCTTGGACATTGCCTATCTGCTGGCTGTGTTTACAGAGAGCACACAGCTTCTAAAACATGATTTTTACTCTGTTGCCTTTCTCAGTAGGGCCTTTTTAAGGCAAATCCCCTAGGACTTCTTTTCATGTAGTTGTAAGCTGGTTATCTGCATCTCTTTTTTTTTTTTCTCTCTCCTTTTTGAGGAAGGAGGAGCAGCCAAGGAGATGGTCTGAAAGGAGAGCTCTAGTACTGACCTCAAGCCCTTTTGTGCCACTCTAAAGAAAAATACGCACAAAAGAGAGCAGCAGGAGTAGCTGTATCCATAGCATGTCAGCTAGCCTGAAGGATTTAACCCTGCCTTGACAGTCCTGTCTGATGCAGGCTAGCCAGCCCCTGCCTTGTGGCTGGTCCTAGGCAGAACTGTCCTGTCATCTCAAACACTCTGAAAATGAGTCCTATGTGGTTCGTGCCTGCATAGCAGTGAGGCTGCACCATGGAGGCCTGTCCCCTCGCTTGGGGCAGGGGCTGCAGGCCATGGAGGAGCATATTCCTCTGAGTTTTGTCGTTGTCCTCCTGGCAGCTGATGGCAGCAGGGCTGTTGAGTTTGCAGTGGGGTTTTTGGAGCATCTCCCTGGGGATCTGGTGTCGGTCAGGTCCTTGGGCAGTGCTTGCTGTTGTCTCTGAGCTCCTCTTGATGCTGACCCCAGCTTGGGGGCTGGAGAAGGTGTCCCCCAGCCGTGACCTTGCTCCCCAGCACCCGAACCTAGGGAGTGATTTGGGGCACAACAGCCTGTATCACTTCTCCGTGGACCTGTAGCACAGCCCTCTTGCTCTGGACCTCCAATAATCCTGTGCATCGCTCCACTGCCAGTGGTAGTAAAGGAGCAGGTCTGTCTGTCAACAAGGCACAGCGCCGCCGGGCCCCGTGTGTGTTCGGTGGCCTGGTGCATGCACACGTGCACACACACAGGGTGCCCACGTGTGCAACGTGCTCCCTTCGGGGCTGTGCAGCCCCTCGTGCCGCTGCTGCTGCAGCTCTTCCCCCTCATCCAGGGGAACACGGGATGGGGCAGGTCTCCCGTTGGCGGCTCCATAGCCCTCCTGGGACCGCGTGCCACGGCCTTCCTGGCAGCGTGGCCGGGCGCGGGCCTGGCTTCTCGCGGGGAACGGCGCCTCTCCCCCGCCTGCCTTCTCCTGGCCTCCCCTCGGGGCAGTCAGTTCCCTGCCGCTCAGCTTGAGCGGCTCCTAAATGGATTGCAAGCCTATTCTGCTAATGCAGCCAATCTGTCCGTTACGGGCACCGTCTCCTCCAGAGATCCAGCTGGGGGGATGGGACCGGACTGTATGGAGTTGGAAACAGCTCAGCATTGCTGATGAGGTCCTGTCTGCTTTTAAGTCATCAATATTTTGCCGTAATGTGCATTCCAGACGCTGCAGACAGGCTGTGGCTCTCCTCAGAGACGCAAATTAATAGCAACAGGGCCATTAGCCCGTCACTTGGAATCAGAGCTCGTGGCATTATCTGCCTGCACAGCCTCAGATGGCTCAGCGCCCGCGCTGTGCCGGAAAACGGCCTTGCTGCGCTTAGCGGGTTTTTTACGGAGCCTGCAGGGTCTGTGCGTGGGGACACACGGCTGCTCTGGGGCTGCAGGAGGAATCCTGCCTTCAGCTGCCGCGTGGCGAGGCTGGGCAGGCACCAGCACAGTCCAGTCCCCGCACATGGGCTTGTTGCACCTTGCGAGGCTGCGGTGCTCCTGGCATGGCCCGCCGTGAGCATGTCCCCCTGCGTCCCGTGTGCCCCGGGCTCCATCCCTCGTCATGGGGAGAGCGTTCGTGGAGGGATGCACGGTTTGGGAGGAGGGCAAGCCTAGAGAGTTGGGAACTGGAGGATGTGGGGCAGTGTGGGCCCAGTTGTGGCTGAGGCAGGGAGCCAACAACATCCCAGACAGGTATAGGAGGTGTAGGTGTTACTAAGCTCCATGAGGCCAGAAGCAGGGTAAGACACTGGGAAAAGCTGCCTCCTCTAACCCTCCCTTGTTCTTCCCTTACAGGAGCAGCCAGGGCTTCATGCATATGAAACTGTCCCGGACCCAAGAGAATAAGTATGTGTTGGGCCAGCACAGCCCGCCGTTCGACAGCGTGCCGGAGATCATTCATCACTATGCCAGCCGCAAGCTGCCCATCAAGGGGGCTGAGCACATGTCCTTGCTGTACCCGGTGGCTATCCGTACCCTATAGTCCTTACCCTGCACGAGCCTGGCTCGAGGCCGGGTGTACCCAAAGCTGGCCCGTCCTCGGGGCTGAGCACTGTGATGCCAAGGACGAGCTCCGGAGCGGCAGCCCGCAAGCGGCTCCTTGGGCACGGCCGGTGCTCTCTGGGATTGCTGCAGCCACATCCCTTGTCCTGCTCTCTCATGGGGATCCCGTGCTGCTGTTTTCCTTCTAGGCTGCCTACAGGAGATGCCCCCGTGCGAGCAGCTGAGCTGGGCCTGCTGCCACGCTCGCCAGCTGCCCTTGCCGGCCTCCGGGCAGAGCTCAGGAAGCAAGAACTGAAGCTAAGGCCGTAGGAGAGGCCTGGGGCAGGACAAGTTGGGGGGAAACCTCTACCCACGCGCTGCACAAGGGAGCTGGAAGGCCCAGCCTGCAGCCAAGGAAGCCCAGAGCCATCTCTGGCAGAGGGCAAGGGGAGCTAAGCAGGGCCTGCCTGGGGCTAGCAAGGAGCCGGGGGGACCGGGCAGGCTTGTGGGGCCCCAGTCTGCATGGGTGCTCGGTACTTGCCACCTTCCTTTGCCAAATGTAAATAGTGACCGTCTTGGCCGTGCGTGCAGCACCGCTGCCTAATAAAGCAGTGCGTAGTCGCCCTGGTTGCCAGCCTCCTGCTTCGTGAAGCCCTAAGCACGCTCTTGTGCTCTCCCTCCACCTCTGGGATCAGGAGCTTCTGCTCTAGGAAACCTATAGAGCAAAACTCAGTGTGAGTCAGGGGGGGAAATCTCTGATGTATACCCTCATCTCTGGGTGTTCAGTGACTGCTGTCCTGTTCTCCATCTTCCTGTCACTTTATCTTTAGGTCAGTTTGTTCATCCACTTCCTCAGAATGAGTTTACATGCTGTAGCTATTAATGCATATCTTGCCTTTTCACCTTTGGTTTTTTTCTGCATGCTTTCTGCCATGCTCTTGCCAATGCACTTCTAACCGTTGATCAAGCCAAGCTTAAGCTATCTGTTACTCATATCCACTAGGTTTCCTTGACCCTCCTTTTCCTGGGGCCCCCAGAGGGGGTGGAGGGGCCAGATTCACCGCTGACCCTCAAAACTTGAGCCTCAAACTTCAGCAGAACAGAGGGCTTGGAGAGCTTGTAGTCCACTGCCATCCTCCTTGTCTATGTTGCAGTGGGCATCTAGGTCCAGCGGATGCCATCGATGGCACTGAGGGGGCCCAGGGGCTTGTTGAAGTGTGTGCTGAAAACCACAGTCATCCCCATCACCTGCTCCTGGGAAGGAGTCTACCTGGGAGCTTCCTTGGGGAGAAGGTGGTGATGTTCCACAGGAACATGGGGACCTTGTGCACTGTCTGTGCCTACCTGGGGCTCGGAGAGTTCCAGGCTCTCAATTTTTAGCTTGGGAATCGCAGTCCCAGCTGGTGATCGTGGCTTTCGACCAGAACACTCTCAAATTGCAGCTGCAGTTTGGAGCCGGCAGGGACCATGACGTTTCGTTTCAGGATGCCTCAGCCTTTGTCGCTCCTTAAAAGGCAGCGGTTTGAGCTTCTCCTGGTGCTTGGTGTCACCTTACAGCTGTGCTGGCCCAGGGGCAGCTCCAGCTCACTGGCTGCCTCCCTCCAGCCCTACCAGCCTTCCAAGGAGGCACCTTGTCCTCCAGGGATGGGCCAGCTCTGGTCGGAGAGTTTTCCTCTCTTCGTTGCAGCTGTGAGGAGGATGGGCAAGTGCCAGAGACTGCAGAAAGGGCTGGCAATGCAGGGATGCTCTTCCAGAGATGCTCTTAGATGCCCTTGGTCCATTTAAAAGGCTTAGAAGGCACGTTAGCAGCCCTGGAGCTAACACGCTCACTCTGAAGCTGGGATTTGGGTGCACATGCTTAAATTAAACAGCTTTCCTAATCCTCCTAATGTGGCAAAGTGTGCAGCTCTCTGCAGAGACCAGCGTGCACACAGGCTCTTGCATAGCAGGTGGCAGTGGGACTGCTGGCTGAAATACCTGTGCTGACCCCACAACAAGGGCAGCAGATCCCTGCAGCTCTCCCAGTTGGTATCCAGACAGCAGCAGGATTTTGCCCGTGGCATCTTGCCTGGTGTGCTGGAGGCTGATGGTCGGGGTATGACACGATGCCGAAAGACACCCTGAGCTGCAGAGAAAAAGCTAATTTTGCAGCTGCCCTGGCAGCTAACAGCAGACAAGAAGGCTCAGATCAGCTTGAATTGAGCCTAGCACCTACTTCTGACTCAGAGAAGGTGAAAACCCAGCAGATGGTCTTCAGGGGACCTGGCACAGGCAAAGTTCATGGTTACAGATGGTAGCAACCAGGTCTGGTCCTTGCAGTCAGATGGGCACTGTTCTCTCCAGTCAGCAGAAACAGCCCTTTCGTGGGGGAAGAACAGGGGGGAAAAAGAAAAAAAAAGAAAAAGGTCTTCCCCTGGGAATGGGGAGAGTGGAGCACATTTTTTTTTTCTTTGTGTCCAGCTGGAATTCTCTTCCTGCAACTTATGCTGTTGCTTTTGCCTTTCCCTGGGCACCTCTGAGAAACAGCTTCCCACAGCTTTGCTCTGTGTAGTTGGAAATAGCAATGACATCTGTCTTCAGCCCTCTCTTTGCCAGGCTAAATACGGCAACTCCTTCAGCAACACCTTGTATATCACGTTTTCTAGCCCCAACCACCTCGGTGACCCTTCACAAGACTGTCTCCGTATACTGCGGGGGACCAAAACTGGACACTGTGCCCAAATGTAGCCTCACTGGTGTCAAGTGTAGGGGAATATCCACTTCCTTTAACCTGCTGGCTACACTCATAGGATAACTCAGGTTGAAATGGACCTCAGGAGAGATCTAGCCCTATCTCCTGCTCAAAGCAGGGTCGGCCATGAGGTCAAACCAGGGCCAGGGAAAGCTTTTGGGGAGAGAAGCAGATTTGCCCCAGGCTCAGTTAGACTTTCTGCCTTTTTCGTAGCATTAGCGGGATGGGTTGGGATGGAACCAGGCAGAAAGCGGGTTGCAATTTCCCTGCAACTTAAGGGCAATAGGAAGCCAAACAGACTGGACCTTCCACAGTGGGTGGAGAAGGGCCTACAAGAAAGAAGTAGGAGCAGGGTGCAGAATGCAGAGCGATAGTGAAGAGTCAGCCCATGGCCTGATGTAGGGTCTGAGGATGGACCCGAGTTTCTCCAGTGGGACAGATTCTGCGGAGTTAGTGTCTCAACTTGGGATCCCCATAGAAAGTACATTGTACTGGGCTCTGGGTCTAGTCAGTGCATCATACCCTCTGTGGTCAGAGTTGATCTTCATGAGCTCTCCAGAAAGTTTAGGCAGTTTGAATCAGTCTTCCATGGGTACTTTAGTGTTCCCTCTGCCATCCTGTAAATGAAATGAGGGTTGATTGGAAATGGAAATGGGACAACCTTGCAACAAAGCTAGAGAGGATCCATGAGGATCCTCACTCCTGCAGTAGACAAGGCCATGAGAAACCTGATGGTGGCATTGGACTTACCTTGTTCTGGGCACAAAGGTAGACTAGGCACCTTTTCCTGTAGTAATTTTCAAGCAGATTGCAGCCTGTTGCAGCCTCCTGTGTCCTCACAGCTGCTTCTGTTCTGTCCCTCCTCCCTGCAAGGGAAACAGCTCTGTCATTTACGGCCTTTCCTCTAGTCCCTTGCTAAGCCCCCTGTAATCACCAAGCTGTCTTAGCATGCTGCAGGCCCCGATAATGAAGAAAGGAAGTTTGTTTCATAATTGGATTAACATGCACTCGCATGGCAGTCGGGTCGGAGCTGGCGCAGTCCCCACGCCCTGTGCGGTTCCAATGATTGTGGTCCAGCCGAGGGCTTGGGGCTGTGCTCAGCCGAGGTGCCTGGCTACTCTCGCTCCTCCACAGGACTTTGCTGGTTGAAAAACGTGTTCCTGCAGGAGGAAGCCAGTCAAGAGGGATGAAAAGCTGATCCAGGGTAGAATTTCACCCTGTCTCATTTGGACGTGGTTCTCCAATTCCTTCACAGACCCTGATGTCTCCTGGAAGACCGTGAGGTATGTGCTGGAAGTAAAGCAGTTTGGTCAGTATCAAGCCCAAAATATGTTTCCATATCCCACCCTGAGCCATCTGTGCTCCTGAGTCCCACCACAATGCTGATTAGACTTGCAAATCCGTGGGTTATTCATGCTGAGGGTTGCCCTCAAAGGTGGCTTCAGCCTTTCCCACAGCACGCTCTTTCTCCAGTACCTTCTTGCTTTAACACTTTAGGGCCAGACTTCACCCCAAAGGATTACACATCACAGGAGCTCACACAGGGATTCAAGAAGGAAATTTCAGATACTGGAGAGCATCACTTTGATCCATGCAGGATGGGGTAAAGCCCTCAGATGAAGATAGGATGTGGTGCCTCATCCATGGCCCCTCCCTTACTGTCTGGTCCAGAGAAAAAGTTTCCTTCAGCCCAAATCAAGCGATGAGTTTAACCTCAGACCTACCAGTGCTTGAGGCACATAACTGAAAACACAGCGCCCTGTCTCCAACTGCAGCAATCCCCAGTGCTGCAGGAAAAGGATCAAATACCCTGACAACTCATCTGCCAAAATTTATCGCAAAGGAGAGACATTTCTTCCTGATCCCTGCAGGCTACCAGCAAAAAATGCAGTGTAGCACATGCATAGCACACACACGCATATGGTGCACATATGGCCTGGCTAAATGCCTCCTTTCAAACCCTCTTGTAGAGACCAACATATTTGACACAAGGGGCAAGTTTCAGCTCCTAGCTCAAAGATCAGTCTTGTTCAGCCCCTTCAGTACACTTTCCCAGCACAATCTCAATAGCAGTCACTTGCTTCTGGTGCCCTGTTTGAAAATTACCCTAAAAGATCTCCACTTGGATGCCTCCATCCAATTTTCACTCTATATTTGTCACCAGTTCTGTCCTTTTCTTTGCACAGTTTTCAATGGGTGTCTCCAAAACGGCATGCTCAACACGATCCTTCAGGTGAAGATCTTCTTTTGCTACTGATGAGGCTTTGTCCCTCCTGAAAATGCGTCCCAGACATGATGATTC